TTGGTGTAGTCTCAGGCTGTAGTCTTGGTGTAGCCTCAGGCTGTAGTGCTGTCTTGGTGTAGTCTCAGGCTGTAGTCTTGGTGTAGTCTCAGGCTGTTGTCTTGGTGTAGTCTCAGGCTGTAGTCTTGGTGTAGTCTCAGGCTGTAGTCTTGGTGTAGCCTCAGACTGTAGTGCTGTCTTGGTGTAGTCTGGGACTGGCTGCACCATGTCGCCCGCATGCCCAGCCACCACATGCCTAAACAACTTTTGTTCAGCCAGACTGAGGGGATTAAACGGGCTCGGCACGGGCTAGAGAAGAGATGGAGTGACGTGGTACAGGAGGACGTGGAGCTGAGTGGACTTGCCGATGACTGCTACCAGCGGTGTCAAGATCGGCCTCTGTGGAGGAGGCTCGTGAAGGACGCTGCTACTGGGCAGTTGGAGGCAGTCGCCCTCCAACAACAACGAAGGGCAGAGGAGCGACGCTCACAACAACGCGTAAAGCGCCGGGTGGCCAAAACATAGCAAGTTGGCACAATAGGGGTCACACTTGGAGCATCGGCCAGTCATCTCAGTCAACCCATGGCACTTTGGTCTGTCCCGTGACCTCCTGCCAGCGGGCGTTCGACATTTCACCTGACCTGAACGTGCACATAGCCTGGCGCAAGCGCCGTGGTGACGTCACTGCCACTGAGTGTTTGTTGGGGCTGTAGTGTGTGGTCTTAATGTGGTCTGGGACTGTTTTTGCCGTTATTTTTCTGCCTTGCCCAAGCTTTGAAATTAGTAGTGTACTCATACAATTTGAACTTATATTCTTTATCTATTTATTCATAGCGGTTTGCTAAACTTTCCTATACTTTGCATTTCAATTGATTATTGTATCGTTTGTTGCTGTAACTTTATGACCCCGTGCCCCGACTGGACATCTGTGAAAGAGCTTCAGAGCTCATCGGATTGCTCCAGGATGAATCAAGCTTCTGATTCTGCATCGGATCCGTCGCAGAGCAGTGCGATCCCCTTCGAGTTACAGCACGGCCCACGGAGGTGGATATCACGGAGCCACCGTCGAGATTCTTTCAAGTGACCTCTTATCCGCAGTCGGGCAGGACTTTCCCACACACTCTGCACAAGAGCAATGCCCGTCACGTGACAGCCAACTCGATATTTTAACTCCCAAAGCTGGAATTCAGCCACATTGCATGCTGAGTCAAACGTAATGCGGACGTTTGTTTTCGTGTGCAGTCGTGTGTGAGCAGGCACTTCAGCATCGAGTTTGATCACAACTCAGTCTCTGGGTCTCTACGTAAGTCACTGGTGACCAGGCTGAGGCCATCGGCTCACGACACCTGAGAACCCGGTTCACTCACTGGCAGCTGACAGCTCAAGCGCTCTGACCTCTGAGCTTATCCAACCACCTAAATGTAATTTTCCTGAACTATATTCCAATTTTGCTCTATTGAAAATGTGTATGCCGTATCACAATTAATAACCCACGTTAATTTTAAGGACCGACTTAAACCGTGTGACCGATTCTGCTAAAATAGAGACGCAAGCCTATGACCAAATCACCTGGGATGCACCTGATCTCAACAGATCTCAGAAGCTAAGTGCTCAAATGGGTGACCACTGTGCATTCATAATCTGTCGTAGGTGGTTTGTGGGTCTATGCGGTGGGCAGCATTGGGGTTAGGCGGTAAAATCCATTGTTGTATCCGACCACGCCACCTTCACAGCCCTGCTGCGCTGACCAGCGCGACGGAAGTCAAATAGTCCCCATGACCTGGAACGCGCAGGCAAGGCCCTCTCATCCAGCAGTGGACCGACCTAGAGGACGCGGCGAGTGGCATGCCGCCCGCCGACTGCCGGTGTTGTTGGCGGCGCAGTGGTTAGCCGCACTCCACTACGCACCCAGCGACCCGAGATTGAATCCCGCTCGTGACCAACAGTGGTAATGCTTATCTGAACCGGCCTTGAGCATCCCCTAGGTTGACTCAGTCTTAAATGAGTAGCTGGTGCTGCGGTGTGTAGTAAACATCGGCATCAGCACCGGGGGAGACAAAAGCGGCCGGGCATGGTGTTGGCCACCCGATCCCTCTCGTGTGCTGTGCCAGCCTACAGAGGTGGTCGCTAAAGGCACTTGCCCCAACAGCCTGCTAAAGGCTAAACGAGGGATCTTTGTCCTTGACTCACTGTTGAGATTATAATTGCACAACTTACTAAGTTTGCCTTCCAGAATGAAAGTTTTTGAATTTGTCGTTTTGTTTTTGTTCTGCGATAATCACAATGTGGTATTATATCAACAAGAGCAGCTGTACTTGTACACACGTGTGTACACGCGTGTGCATACACACACGTGTGCAGCAGCAGCAGAAGCAACAACAACTGACGGAGGGCGGCAAGTGAACGAGGTTTTCAGCATTGTCACCTGAGAGGCGTGACAACACGTGTGTCAACACGCGTGTTCACATTAAACATTCACCGCCGGTTTCCCCATCTCACATTTCAATTCCAGTGCCCGCAAGCGCACACGGGAGAGTGAGCGCTGACTATCGTAGGAGCACACACACACACACACGGGAGAGTGAGCGCTGACTCTCGTAGGAGCACACACACACACACACGGGAGAGTGAGCGCTGACTATCGTAGGAGCACACACACACACACACGGGAGAGTGAGCGCACACACAGAGTGGTACACACACACACGAGAGTGAGCGCACACATACGAGAGTGAGCGCACACACACACAGTGGTACACACACATGAGAGTGAGCGCCCACACACGAGAGAGTGAGCGCACATACACAGTGGTACACACACACACGAGAGAGTGAGCGCACACACACACGAGAGAGTGAGCGCACACACACACGAGAGGGAGACAAAGGCTACCTACCGGGCATGGCGCTGGCCACCCCGCCCCCCCCCGTGTGCTGTGCCGTTCTTAAGTGCTGCTCGCTAACAGATTGCCCCAACAGTCTGTTAAGGCTACACGGGGATCTTTGTTTTGGTTTCCTCATTCCTTTGTTCTTTATCGCCCCCGCCCCGTCGATGTATGTTGTCGCCCACGCTGTCAAACACCCACAGCAATGAAGCAATCACTCACAGCTCTTAATTGCTCCCCTTCTGGAGGAACAGCAAGTTGGTGTTCAGCAGTTTTCTGACCACATCTTCGGCCACGCCGGTCTGTGCCGATTGGTGAATGTCCCCGGACCAGCTCTGACATTGGTCGCCACCGATGTTAGCCACGAGCAGGTAATCGAACTCAGACTGCCGGATGATGAGAGCGGTGCGCCCCCTTTAGCACTGACGACGGCAACAAGAACAGAATGGCAGTGCCACGAAACGCGTTCGTCGATAACACCGTAATCCGAACAAGAAACTAATCATATCAGATGGGAATGTTTTGGGTAACGGCCCTTCTCCACGGGGCACAGGAAGATGGGTGAGGTGCAGCGCATCACTCTCCCCTTCTCCACGGGGCACAGGGAGATGGGCGAGGTGCAGCGCTTCACTCTGCCCTTCCCCACGGGGCACAGGGAGATGGGTGAGGTGCGACCCTTCACTCTCCCCTTCTCCACGGGGCACAGGGAGATGGGCGAGGTGCAGCGCTTCACTCTCCCCTTCTCCACGGGGCACAGGGAGATGGGCGAGGTGCAGCCATTCACTCTGCCCTTCCCCACGGGGCACAGGGAGATGGGTGAGGTGCAGCGCTTCACTCTCCCCTTCTCCACGGGGCACAGGGAGATGGGTGAGGTGCAGCCATTCACTCTGCCCTTCCCCACGGGGCACAGGGAGATGGGTGAGGTGCAGCCCTTCACTCTCTCCGAGGTGGGAGGGCCTCACAGAGGTCTCCACGCCACGGCAGGGCCCCACTGGAGGGGGTGGGGAGCAGTGTGGGGCAAGCGGAGAACTCCCATGCCTGCCGAGGGGGTAGCACGCAAACCTCTTACACAGCCCGGCAGGAGCCCACTTGCTGTACTGCCTTTTACAGACACCACGCTGCCTCTCTTTTAACGCGCTTCACTCAACAGTGGATAGATCACGGCTACTGCTGCTGCTGGTGATATTGGTAATGTTGATGCTGTGATGATGTTGATTATAATGCTGGCAATGATGATGTTGATTATGATGATGATGATCAAGATGTTGATTATGATGATGATCAAGATGTTGATGATGATGTTAATGATGCTGATGCTAGCGATGATAATGATGATGATGTTGATGCTGGTGATGATGATGATGTTGGTGATAGTGATGTTGTGCTCCCGGCACTGTGCCAAGGGACGGGGAACTCTTGCCGAGCAGCGCGACATTACCCGCCGTGTCAGGAACCGGCCTGCAGAAGGACATCTCTCGGAGCTCACGTTGGACCAAAATTTATTTGAAAGCGGCCTTTTGAATCTGCACACAAGGGGGCAAGCACAACGCTACCAATAATTCGTTTGGCAATAAGATTAGTTTTTTCTCACAGCTAGAATTTAGCCAAGCGACGTTGATTCGGATGAACGAGGTCCATTTCGCCTAGATAGCCACATCAGTTGCTTTCAAGGCGATGTGAAAAAACTCAACGGGCGGAGCCTCCGCCAGAACACATTCCCGGTCTCCCACCCAACATCAACCGCATCAGAACAACATCACCAGGCTCGTGGGCGCACCTCCTTCACGAATGGAAGGTTAATGGACACAAGATAGGGCAGAGCGACTGTTGGCCATGCAACCCAAACCGTGGACCACCCAGTAAACCACAGTCAGTCGGCACTCCTTCAACAGAGGAACAGCAAAACTACGCAATCTCTCTCTCTCTCCTGAAGCCCTTCTGTCGTGGCGAGCAGACTTCGGCACTGACATTTAAACTATAAACAAATCTATTTTTATTTTACCAGGTAAGACATTTAGCCCCGAGACACACTTGCTGTCACGCGCAATAGAATAGCAAAAGATGATGTGAAGACAAAAATAAGAATTCTTACAGTGAAAAGAGTGTGGGAACAGGAAAGCTGAGAGAGGGAGATACCTGCAGTGGCACGGCGGTCCTGTGCTCTGTCCGATTTAAAAACTACGACCGGCTCCGGAGGCTTTAGCGCGCACCCGCTCGCACTCGCTCATGCCGCAGACAACCAAGAGAGGGAGTGCGGAGAGAGGGAGTACGGAGAAAGGGAGTGTGGGGAGACGGACGGGTGGCGGAGGCAGCATGGGCGGGCAATCGGCACCCGCCTCCAAGAGCCTCCTCCCGCCGCATGCATTTCCGGAAATTTGTCCGAACGTAGGGAATAGAGGAGACTCCCCGTGGACGGTGGCATCGATGGAGAAATGACCCCAACTCAACAGGAGGGGGGCACTTCTTGGTTGTGCAGGCATTGGTGACCCAGCTGAGACTCTAAACTCGTGACACTTGAATTCCCGGGTTCAACCACAGGCGGCTAAAACCTGGATTCAAACCCAGGTTATTCAGCCGTGCCGGCGCCGTGCTCTGACCTCTGGTTCACTGAGGCCACCTTTTCTAACCACCAGCTCAAACTACAGGTGGCCACGTGACTCACCGAAGGCCATGACACGCCACGATATCCACAAGAACAATCGCCCGTTCACATGGATTCTCTAACAAATGTTCAGTGTGCGGAAGTAATCAGGGACAATAAGGATTCCTTCCGAGATGACGCCATGCCGTCACGCAGCACTCGACATGCGACGTCGCTCGATGTTGTCACGTCGTTGGGACAAGAGGCGCACACACGGCGTGGGATGTCATTGCCTTGGCCGAAAAGGCTCAGCCATTGAACGCTTCGGATTTTTACACCAACTTTTTTGACAGCTCCAGATTAATTTGGCCCGGTTTTTTTTAATCAAATAAGTTTCCAAATAGCAACACGACTTTATACTAAGCCTTTGTTTGTATTGGATCATCTTTTTGGGCGTTATCGTGACACCGCGATACAGATGGACAGAGCTAACGCATGAACGTGTTCAAACCTTTTTGTAAAGCATTAAACAGCTTCAGGTGAAGACCCCGGGGTCGGCCCAGGACATGCTGGCGGGACTATGTCGCTCGGCTGGCCTGGGAACGCCTGGGAATTCCCCAGGAAGAGCTAGAGTCTGTTTATCTATATATATAAAATCGTTCATGTCTGTGTGTCTGTGTGTGTGTGTGTGGACTGCACTTTCATTGGACGGCGGTTGCCCCTGGCAACGAGTAGCAACTTTTCTCCGCGGGGTGGACGCCATTTTTAATAGCGCGGCGGGGGGGGGGGACCGGCACCCGTACCCAGCGTTCGCCGGGTGGGAAAATCAGGCAAGGCGGGAGGCTCTGCACGGTGCTAGGCCTCGACACCCAACACGCCACTCTGAGGTAAATTCATACAAATTTCACGTCCTCTACAGAGTGGCGAGGGAGGCAGAGTGGCGAGGGAGGCAGAGTGGCGAGGGAGGGACTCAGCCTCAAAACGAGTAACTGGTGTGGCGTATTAACATCGCCACTGGGGAGACAAAGGCGGCCGGGCCTGGTGGATACAAGTCCCGGGCAAAGCCGGGTCATGACTATGTGTGTATGTGTTTATGTGTATGTCTCTGTGTCTGTATGTATGTGTGTATGTATGTGTCTGTATGTGTTTGTGTGTATGTATGTGTGTGTCTGTATGTATGTGTGTGTGTATTGTGTATGTGTTTGTGTGTATGTATGTGTGTGTTTGTATGTATGTGTATGTTTGTGTGTATGCATGTGTGTGTATGTGTTTGTGTGTATGTGCGGTTATGTATGTGTGTGTATGTGTGTGTCTGCAGCAAGCGCGTGTATGTGTACCTATGGACGCGCGCGCGTGTGTTGTGTAGGGGGAACGGTAGTGTAGTGCTTAGCGTACTGCCTGTGTGTGTGTCTGTGTGTGTGTGTCTGTGTGTGTGTGTCTGTGTGTGTGTGTCTGTGTGTGTGTGTGTCTGTGTGTGTGTCTCTGTGTGTGTGTGTCTGTGTGTGTGTGTCTGTGTGTGTGCGTGTGTGGTGTGTAGGAGGAACGGTAGTGTAGTGCTTAGCGTGCTGCCTGTGTGTGTCTGTGTGTGTGTGTGTCTGTGTCTGTGTGTGTGTGTCTGTGTGTGTGTCTGTGTGTGTGCGTGTGTGGTGTGTGGGGAGCGGTAGTGTAGTGGTTAGCGTGCTGTCTGTGTGTCTGTGTGTGTGTGTCTGTCTGTGTGTGTGTTCTGTGTGTGTGTCTGCGTGTGTGGTGTGTGGGGAGCGGTAGTGTAGTGGTTAGCGTGCTGTCTTTGTGTCTGTCTGTGTCTGTCTGTGTGTTTCTGCGTGTGTCTGTGTGTGTGTGCGTCTGTGTGTGTGAGGAGCGGTGGGTGTAGTGGTTAACGCTACGCTGCGCTACCAACCCGGCGAACCGAGTTAGATTCCCGCTCATGGCCACCACCGATCAAGATTATTTGAACCTCACATAGGTCGACTCAGCCTCAAACGAGTAACTGCTGTGGCGTATTAACATCGCCACTGGGGAGACAAAGGCGGCCGGCCGTGGTGGATACAAGTCCCGGGCGAAGCCGGGTAGTACAGCTAGTAGTATTGTATAGTAGTGTAATGTTTAGTAATATAATGTGCAGTGTAGTAGTGTAGCGTATAGTGTTGTATAGTGTATCGTAGTGTATAGTGGTGTAGGAGTGTATAGTAGTGTATAGTGTAGTGTATAGTAGTGTATAGTGTAGTGTATAGTGGTGTATAGCGTAGTAGTGTATAGTAGCGTATCGTGTAGTTGTGTATAGTGTATAGTGTATCGTAGTGTATAGTGGTGTAGGAGTGTATAGTGGTGTATCGTGTAGTGTATAGCGTAGTAGTGTATAGTGTAGTGTATAATGTAGTGTATAGTGTAGTGTATAGTAGTGTATAGTGTAGTGTATAGTGTAGTGTATAGTAGTGTATAGTGTATAGCAGTGTAGTAGTGTATAGTAATGTAGTGCTGGAGTATGTCGCCAGGGAAAGGGAGGTCTGGACCGCCCTACTCAACACGCGGCTGCCGCTGCGTCCCTCGCCATGGCAAGCGGACTGACAAACTAACGACTTGAACAGAATAGATTCTTGAATCGAATTGCCACCAGGATCAAGACATTTCATCCAAATGCTGGTGGACTGAATGTGTATAGGCCTAGCCCACACAATCGACAGACGCACAGGCCACCAGCAAACAAGACCAACTGTTGATTTTAAAATAAGAATGTTTTGCATTTCTGGCAATAAAACAGGAGGTGGTATGATGTTCAAACACCAAAGAGACACCTTTTGCAAGGCATCACGTCTCCATTAACCACACGTACTTATGGCAAAGCATGCAAACCAACATGCCGTTTATTTAAAGACACATGGTATGTAGCTATCTGGTTAGACAGACCAAACCAACTGATAGCTTATCTTAGGTAAATGTTCATGTGTTTACACACCTTTGCCAATCAATTGTTGGATGATGGCCTCCCCATGCCCTGCAGGTTGCTGTGGTTATTTTGACTTTACTTCCACGTGCTGGTCTGGTGAAGACAAGAGGCAGCATCGTCGTGGGATGGTTCAACAAAGGACTTTGCTGCACTGCCCCCTCAACCAAGAGGCATAATAAAGATACTAAAACAATAACATATACCACAGAACACAACAGCACAATAACACAGAATGTTAAGTCCACAGCAGACTCCGAGCCTTCTTGCAGTGGACCTTTCCCAGGAGTATTTTGTTCACAACAAATTCGTTGCTCCCCCAGGGCGTCTTTGCTCGGTAACGTGGGGCCTGGCATAGCCCACCGCAAAGGCAACAGAACTCGTTGTGCACGGTGACGACGGTGACGACGGTGACGACGGTGACGGTCACCTCCACTACCTCGTCGTCACGCCGCCACCACCAACGCCGCCTCATCGCCGGGTTCCCTGGCTCTCGTCGAGGCTCAGAACCACCCAGCGGCGCCAGCAGAGGGGAACCACGCGCAAGCTGGAGGGCAGCGGCAGGAGCCGTGTGGTGACCTGGCGCCCATCCCCCCCTGCCCCAAGCTCTGCGGTCCTCTAAATAGCATGGTGGTATTACTGGACGATCAACGAGTGTTTATGTGGGAAGAAAGCTAAGAACTCGGAGAAAACCCACACATGCGAGAGGGCAACACTCTATCCCCGCAGGGATGCGGCGGATGATATTGGTCCTCATTTTCTGTGCCGCCTTCTCCTGGCAAGCCAGGGTACGTGGTCTCCTCCTCGACGCCCACGGGAGGAAGAGAGTTCCGCAACTGTTTGTGCGATCCAGTAACCACTGCCCCCCCCCCCCCCCCCGATCTCCACAGTGCCAGATTTTAGCCATGCACCGCCATCACCACCTCGCTAAACAGCAGTGCCAAAGAGAGCCTCAACGGAGTCTCGAGCCTTCTTATAAGGAGCATCCTGCTCAGAATGCTTGGCCAATTCCACATAAAGTACAAGTCAGTAATGCAGCCTGTCTTCACAAGGACAAAGTTTTAAAAAAATTCGATGAAACCAAGATGATTAATAAAACTGCCTTGCATCACCAACCTGAATAATTATCAAACTTTGACATCCACCAACAAATTTGGCCATGGGGCTTTTGTGACCTAGGTAAATGATCACAAACATAGCAGATAGCTCATCGCCGTGACCATTGGTCCCCTACATTGCGTTGCTTCAGAATTGGCGCTTGCTCCACTCTCTGGAACAACCGCTCGCAGAACACAGCAGCCTTCCTCCGCTCTTCCGTCAGTCGTCACGTGGCGATCGCCATCACGTGCGTGCGCGAACGTTCTCCCATTCACGCGTCCCCCCTCCCGTCTCTTCGTGTCATGCCCGAGGTGCACCTCCCCAAGCGCTTCTTTGCGCAACTTTTCAATTTTTTGTTCCATATTTTTCACGAATGTCTGATTTGCTGAACCACGTCGCAGAGCAGAGAGCATACGCACTGAATAGAAAACCCTCTTATGTAGGACACTTTGCAGCTATTTTCATTCTCTCTATTATCGTTGACCTGACAAGGGGGGGAGGGGGTGGGAGGGCGACATCACTTACCGTGATGTCATAAACATTCGGATCAATCGGAAACAAACAATCGATTTTCTCGTCTTCCGAAGCCTCAAAGCGCCGAGT